TTGGAAGAGTCTTGATAATCTTGGATTCTTGATAAGTCTTGGAGTCTTGGAAGAGTCTTAATGGACCTTGAATTATCCTATTATCCTTTCTTGCCTTATCTTGGACTCTTGACCTTATCCTAGGAGCTGCTGCCCCTAGGGGTGAGATGGGCCTTGGGATGGGCCTCCATCAGTATGTAAAATTTTGCATTAGTAGTTTAATTTATGAGCATTGTTAGTCGTCGTTCACGCATAGCCCATCACGGGGCTGTGACGATTGAGACAAGTAAACCCCACTTACCATCGCGATATCACCTGGGAAGAAATTTTGGTTTCTTTCCCACACTTGCGCATTTTACATCACATTTCCACAGTCCACAGGTGTAGTGTTTTGTGGGTAGGCATGAGTAAAGTTCCAACAACCTACCAAGAAGATCTGACACCACACATCTCATATATGGAGAGTCCAGTCTCATGGTAAGATGTGCTACTTGATCATGTTGGTAGAGGGTTGGAATGTGTTTTTGGGAGAAGATTCCAATTCCTCCTATATAACAATCCAAAGCGGAAGTCAGGTTGTGGTCACAGACAAGAGAATCAAGATATATCATTGCTTTTATCTATCCCCCCCCGAAAAAAAAAAAACGAGCGTCAAGCCGCACACTAATAATGTATGCGAAAGATATTTATGATGTGCGGTTAGATGTGACAAGATTCAAGCTCTCTTTTTTTGAACATAACAAGTGAAACTATTTCCACTTAAGGGGGCGTTCTTTTTTTTTGATTTTCAGAGGAAGGAAAGTTAGTCAATGGGACTTTGGTTCCCATTAAACAAGAATCCCATGTCCATTTTTCAAATTAATGTGGGGACCAGGTAAGTGATACCCATTTCCTAGGTGGGCAAATAACTTTATCACCTAGGAGGAAAGTTGCTAATACGAATTCAAGATAAAAATGCCCCATTTTAATAATTGTTTTTTAGGACTAAAATGATCATTACCTTATTTACCTGAAAAATAAAAGAACATGGATAAATGCATTTACCCGGATAAGTGTTTCTCAATAAAAACTTACACAGATAATTGGATTTACCCGGATAAATAACTTATCTAAAGGCGAACCGAGCTAAAAGAAAAGGGATAAATTAACTCAACTCCACCTTAGAATTCTGAATTCAAATGTAGACCTTCGACAATTCAAAATTCCACTAACATTAATTGCGAGTTGGCACGTACCTCAACTGTACGGTGGAGCTAAGATTAGAGTGAAGTGAACGGTACGGTGGGTTTTTCTGTTGTTCATTCACCTCTTCATCGTAATGTGTTTTTCTGCTCTGAGGCTATGAAGGCAAAGGTAAAGGCTATATGTTACACTGGCACCGAACATTTCTCTGCTATAGCATTGACCGTTGCAACTTGAAAAGATACACGCACTGGTTCTGTAAGTTTTCAGGGATATCAAGAGGAAAAAGATATGCGAATAGGGATTCACACCACCGGCGCCTGGTTTCAGGGCCCTCATTTTCTACACTCCTCACACCTCCGCTTCAAACTCCAAAGCTCTGTATCGTACTCTAAGGTTCTATTACGACAAGCTTTTAGCTCTGCTTCCGCCCGTTTATCCTTGATTGCTTTATATTGTATGTGTTTGGACTTTGCAGTCGAGAAACTCAGAACATATCGTCGTTTTCAGGTTATACCGTGCTTGCAAGACGAGTGCAAGGACTTTTTGCCGTGGCTACGGCGAAAATCAGGAACCGAAATTTCGTCAATTCTTTCAATTGGGAGCTCTGTATATGGAAGGTTTTGTTATTTTCTTTACCGTTCAAAAAGCTCTGAAGTGCAAGCTACTTTTTACTATTTTTATCTTTTTCGATCTGGGAGTTGCTTCAAACTATACTCCGAATAAATCTGAATAAATTTCTTACTAAACAAATTCAAGGGGTTCGTGTAGTCTACTCCAATAGTTGGGATTAAGGATGAGTTAATTCAGTTGAGTTGCCCACAACTCTACATCAACTATTACCTTTCATTGATTGCATATTTGTCTGGAGTGACTGCTTAATTATAAACAGTAAATAATAGCTTCGTGCTTGTATTCAAACATTCTCTATAAACCTCATGTCAGCCTTCTTGAAGAATTTGTGATCCAAATGCGCAGGTCACTGTTTGCATCGGAGTTCATACAAGCTGGAGACTGCATATTGAAAGTTCCTTTCAACGTTGTATGCTATCATCAGTTAAATCTGCAAAATTATTTTCATGTGCATTGCATTAGACCGGTGATCTTGCTAATGTTTTCATCTGATGGGGATCTTGTTATTTTTCCTCGACTTGTTCATGCAGCAAATAACACCGGACAATGTACTTCCAGAAATAAATTCTTTCTTAGGCAAGGACATCGGAAATACTGCACGGCTTTCTATTGTCATTTTAGTCGAGAAGAAGATGGGTCAGGTATGATGAATCATTTACTAGTTTTGTTTTTCTATACTGTATAGGTATCTGATAAGCTTAATGATTGGTGGGTACATGATGCACATCTTCAGAAGTGTCTTTGTACGTTAGGCTATGTCTTGTTTTGGAGAAAACTGGAATGCTGGAGAATTATGAAATATCTGAGCAGTTCATTATTTTTTTGGGTTTCATACAGGACTCTGAATGGGCCCCATATATCAACAGTCTTCCACGAGTTGGAGAGATGCATAGCACGGTAAATTATCTTTTGGTATAAAGGGATATGAAGTTATCTTGCAAACAAACTTAAATGGAACTCCGAATTTCCTAACCAGTGGTAGTTATATAATAGGGCTTCTAAAGGAAAAAAAGAACTGTATTTTCTTCTTATATTGATTGTATATCTACCAGTGAAAGTGCATTTCTGTGCATTAAGTTGTTCACATTTAGAAGGACAAAGCTGCATAATCTTATGATAAATGGATACATATTGCATATACCTTCCTATAACAAAAACCAACAGAGCAGCACCTGCAAAGTACTGTGATTTATGAGTTAGTAATTGATGAAGTGCATTTATTCACTTGCTAATAGCCACTAAGACATTTGTAGAGAACACTGATGTGGGCCCCACTGCAGTGGTCCCCACTGTGTTCGTAGGACAGCAGTGTAGTTATTTGTTTCAGTTATAGTAGTGTCAGTTTGAGTCAGTTTGTTAATTCAGTTGTTATTTATTTCAGCTTTTATTTACTTTATTT